ATAAGTAAATTTTCCTTCCCTTCATAAGTACAAATTCTAAGCATAATATGTAAACAAAATTATTTAACTACAAAGGATCAAAGTTTCCTAAGCGTCCTATGTGAAAAAGTTCATTTGAATAACAAAATATCAAAGAAATTTGTAAATTAGAAATATAAACCAAGGATGAATTAATAGATTAATCCAAACTCTTAACTACCACAAATACATGTTATATCTCACAATACATGATAGAAGTGGTGAAAAGAAGTTTAATCTATTAATCATGTGAAGTGAAAATTATAATCATTGAACACCACAATATTTGAGAATTGAAAATAAAAACTAGATCTTTATTTAGTAATGGTGTTTCATCCAACCTCAGTTAGGTAATTTAAATAGACATAATTAATATTTAAAACAAAACAAAGAAACTAAAATACATAAATTAAATGAGAACTAGGAAAGGAAGAACAAGTTTAAAAGAGTTATTAGCTCTTGGTTCTTTCCTTTCCATCATTGTTCTCTTTCTTCCCCACTCTTTCTCTCTATCTCTTGCCGTGTGTTTCTTCCTCTATCTATCTAATCTCTTGATCTTTGCTCAAAACTTGTATTTATAGCCAAAGAAAGGGAGTCTTGAATTATATAATAATCAAGTAGCTTACTTTTCCAAATATCTTTCTCATCTTTAGCCTACTTCCTTTACTTTGGTTTCACAAAGATCTTTGAGTCTTCTTATCAATTGCTCCACTTGCTCATCTCTCGTATCTTCTCATAAAAACTGCAGCAACTTTCCTCATATTGTAGCTAGATAACAACTCAAGCATCATCATTCTTCTTTGCATTCATTGGTTGCAAGTAGTCAATTTGAACTTCTCCTTCATTGTTTATTCATTCTTTCTTTATTTCTTCAATGATGGAAGCTTTGCATGCATGTCCTAGAGTATATTCATGCAATTGATTGCTTCTTCTTTTCATTTGTTTTATCTTCAATTGCATTTGCTGCTGCACAAGTTGTCTCGAGCAAATTTCCTTGGCTTTGGCTGCACATATTTCTTCTCATCCTTTACTTTCTTCTTGCAACACATTACTTACTTCTTTTCCTCAACATGCTATTGGTGGAAGACACTTAATATCTACAAACAACCACTCATTAAATATAAAAACAAAGATTGGAAAGAAACAATAAAAATACTTTAATAGATTTATATAAAACAAAAGAAAATACTAACAAATATAAATTTAAGGATAAAACTTGTATTAATTTTGTGCTCATCACGGGGCCAGGAGGAGAGAAAGAAGAAAGAAGAAGAAAAGAAAGAGAGAAGGGAAGGAAAAAAAAATTATAGTTTTGGATTGATTTGACGATTATACCCTTGGATTTAACGGTTGTTTTGACAGAGGGACTATTTAAGAGTACCTGTATTAACGTTAGGGATCATTAATGATACAAAAAAACGTTAGGGATGCAATGTGATAATTTCGCAAACGTCAAGGATGTTTTGTGATAATAAACCAAAAGAATAACATACAACAAACATCCGAAAGCGAATATTCAATCAAGAGACTCGTAGACTTGATATTTTACCCCAATTTGCTTAGTCAATTTTTAATATTTAGCGTGGATTGAATAGTGGCCGGATTTGAATTTGATTGTCTCTGCCATTCACAGGATGCAATCTTCTTCTTCTTCTTCTTCTTCTTCTTCTTTAAGGAGAAGTAATCAGTTTTATAGTAGTTCTGCCTTCCCTGTTTTAAGTCTCCATTCAACTTCTAGTGGGTTGGATAAAATACAACTTATGAGAGCGACCCCATAAAACCAGAGATGGATTTGACAGCAGACGTTGACTTGTGCAATTGGACTGATTAAGGAGCATGATTAGGAGAATTTTAATCCAAATTTCTCTCTTTGTTTTAGGGTACGTGGTCTTTAAGCACTAATTAGTAACGGAAATGACCCGACAAACTCATGTTTTGAAGATTGAATGATTTAGAGGTTTCTAAATTCTGTTCAAGACACAAATATGAACAAAGTCAACAAATGCACGTCGTTAAGATTTAATGAATTGAATTCAACCCAAACGGTGCTGAATCCATCTTCTTGTTTGTTTCATATAATGTGTTACATGTTTTCCACATGGGTAATTGATTGGTTATATTATTGTATCAACGTTCTTTTCTTTTTATTCTCATATGCCTTTAAAAAGGTTTATATATTTATTTATAAAAGTGATAGTCTAAATTAACCTAAATTTAAACATGGATGTAACACGAGACTCATTGTCCTAAACATAGCCGGTCTTGGGTTTTCTGAGGCCTTGGGCAAATTTCTAAAATGTGCCCATTTAGACAAATTAAACACTAAAATTACTTCTTTTTCTATCAAATAATTAATTTTATTAAAGTTAGAAGAGTTTACAAAATATAAAGAATAATATTTTGAGGCCTCATTAAACACCTCAATATTAAAGTCATTTGTTCTTTGTGACATGCATCATGAGTAAAATGAAGAATGATTAAAAAATACTTTTGCCGTTTTTATTTTTTCAAGATTGCATGTTTAACATTTGATTTTTTCAAGATTGAATGTTTAACATTTGATTTTTTTCAAGATTGCATGTTTAATATTTGATGCTAAAATAGCTATGAAAAAAGTTTTTAATGCTGGACTAGTTAAACCTTTCTAATTCAAGGGTGGAAATGGAGGAAGGTCGACCTACCTCTTTGGGAATGGCTGTTGCTTCTAAATATTATTATATTAAGTTTAACGCCTTTGATTTGATTTATGGATGAAAAAAATGTGTTCTAAAGTCAAGCGATTCTTTCCCACTTAGAAAACCTTACAGCTGCGCAACCTTGCATTATAAATAGGGTAGATAATCTTCTTTTCCACGACCGCAAGTGCTGTCGACGTGAAGAAAACAAAAATATATGAAAAGTGAGAACAAGAAAATTTGAAAAATCGAGAAGAAGTTAAAATATGTATATCACAAAACATCCCTGAAGTTCATGTACCTATCACAAATGGCCCTGCAAATTTTTTTATTTTTTTAATTTAAAATTCATAAAATTTTAGTTTTCATTGTAAAATTATTTAAAAATATATATTGTATTTAAATACACGTGATACTATATTTTTGACGATGTGGGCTCCACATATATGCCACATCAACAAACTAATGAAGTTTTTTTAAAATAATTTAAAATTCATAAAATTTTAAAATGAAAAAACCATTTATAGAAGGATTTTAACCTTTAGGACCATTTATGAACCTTAAACCCTTGATTTTTTCATTTTTAAGTTTTATGAATTTTAAATTATTTTTAAAATACCCCATTAGTTTGTTGATGTGGCATATATGTGGATCCCACATCTCCAATAATATAGTGTCACGTGTATTTAAAATACAATATATATTTTAAAATAATTTAAAATTCATACAATTTAAAAAAGAAAACCCAAATTTTATGATTTTTAAATATAAAAAATAAAAAATTTCTCATGGACCATTTGTGATAGGTGTACCGTGCATGAACCTGAAGGATGTTTTGTGATATATATATATATATATATATATATGCCACGTCAGCAAACTAACGGAGTTTTTGACGGAACCTAACGGTAGGGACCATTTGTGATCACACATACTAACCTTGAGGACCACGAGTGACACAAAAAAATATTAAGGGTGAAATCTGATAGTTT